AGTGCGCACTCAATGTGCGACAAATTTTTTCGGAAAATGTATACATATAATGTAGTCATATAAAGTGCTATTCAAAAATGACCATGTCAGCCAACTTAATGACCCTAAAATGACCAACTTATCGCCCGCAATCGCACTTTTTGACCATGCGCATTTATTAATGACATAATTAAGTTTATGAACATACAAATTAAACTAGCATTCCCAACTTTCCGTATCGAGAAATTCCTTCTAAGATAATTACCCTGAGCTAACCACTACAGCTATATTACCTTATTATGTATTAGATACCTGGCACCTGTAAATATTTTGCTAATCAATTTTGAGCATTCAAACAAAGTGACCTAGTTATACAGTACTAAGGACATATCTAAATAGATTGAATAGAATGATATTAAAAATAAATAATTACTAATTAGTTACATTTATGCCCTGGACATGTATATTTGTCATGAAATCGGTAATGGTTTAATTTTGATTTTCCAAGCATTTAAAGTAGTCTATTTATGTTTATTAATTTAGCAACTAACATAAAACTATAATAATAAATCAAGTGCCCACATACTTTATATTTTTACATTTACTTACCGTGACATAATAACAATTGCACAATATTTGTGTATTTTTCTAAGCAATTAATTTTACATTTTATTCTTTGTTTTGTTTTGTTTTATTTTACTTTATTAAATTGTTTTATATTTAATTTTACCACATAATCAGTAATATTAAATTGTATATAATGTTAATAAAAATAATAATAATATTTGAAATAGTAAATAATTTATTAAATATATTTTTATTATTTGGAAAATATTTATCTTCATCATTTGAAACATAAAATAAAATAATATTTGTTTAATAGTCATTTAAGTATTTCTATGCATTTAAACAAATTCATAAAAATATATATAAATACAAACAGAATACTGCACACACAGTAAATACTATATAATTATTATAACATTTCTAATATCAAAATAATTCATACCTACAATGCCTTTAAAATTTATTGTGGCGGCGAATAATGTACAATAAATTATAATTTACAATAATATTACTAAAATACTAATTAAAAAGTTTATTTTATCTAGTTCCCGCCATATATGTATTTATCGGAGACTTCAACAAACATGGTTTTAAGTAATAGGACAGGAATTGATATCAAGATATTAAGTGTATTTCAAGAGAAAATTAACTTTACATACGATTTGATTAACTGTAATGGAAATTGGGGAAGATTAAATGGCTTAAATAATTGGACCGGGATTATTGGCATGCTAAACAAATCGGTAAGTAAATTTTAGAATATGTAATGAAAACTAGCTAAAGTTAAATTAAGTAAATAAATAATTAATAATTTTGTAGCAAGCTGATATAGGCATCGGTTGTGTCACATTAGATTCAGAGCGTATTCAAGCAGCCGACTACACCTATCCGTATATCATAGATACATCTACTTTCTTAGCACCCAGGATAAATAAAAAAATTTTGTTTAATTTATTTAAAACATTCGATTCATTCACCTGGATATTTCTAGGTTTCACACTACTTTTTCTGTCATTAGTACTACATATTATGTATAGTAAAAATGGAAAATCAGCATTATCATTTTATTGGATTCTCACTACAATACTTTTGCAACAATCCATTACTATTAAGCTGCAACATTACAAATTAATAATATCAACATGGCTATTAGCGAGTCTCGTGATAGCAACTAGCTATGGTGGGTGCATTTATTCATTAATAACTTTGCCAAACAATAAAAATATCGACACTATTAATGAACTCACCAAGGTAGTTAGAGATAAGCAAGTAGCATTGTTACTCTATAATGGTTCAGCATTTAACAGCTATTTAAAGGTAATTAATTTAATATGTAAATTACTCACTGTATGTATCACTGTATGCAGCATTACATAATTATATCTCAAAACTACCTAGCATAATAATTTTCTGGAAGAGTTTGGTTCGAATATAAAAGGATTCGAAAATGGAAATTATGAAATTTTTGAATACATATTAAATGCACCTGGATTAAATACGTACATTGAATTTCGAAATCAATTACAGTATTGGATCAACAAATACCAAACAAAACGCTTTTACGTACCGACCCCTGGATTAGACTCCACTTTCTCAGTGGCCATGAATTCAATTGTATTGCGAAAAAACTTTGAGTTCAAACTAAAGTTTAACAAAATGTACGTGGTACCTCTTTAATGTATAATTAAATTTATAATACTGTAATTATTACTCTAGTCTAGCTCATTTAATCAATGCGGGACTGATTGAGCACTGGTATCAATCCTTGCTAACTAAATCAAAATCATGTGTCACTAATCAAAATGATAAAACATGGCACCACTTGGAACTGGAACAATTTAACACAATAATCATAGCATATTCATTTAGTATTTTATTATCAATTACAATATATTTATTAGAATTCTTATCAAGTTTAATTGAAAATTTGTTAAGTGTATTTATTTACACACACTACCGTAAAAGTAAATAAATGAATTAAAATAAATTTTATAAATGTCAATTTTGCATGCTTAAAAACTATTTATTTGACGTTTTACAAAAAATATTTAATTTTTTAAAAAATAACAAATTATTGAGCATAGTTAATTTAATTTAATTGAAATAAGGAGGATAGTTGTAGATAATGCCACCATCAACCACTAGATTAACCCCGGTAATATAATCGGCATCACTCGATGACAGGAATACCACACCTTTGGCCACATCCAGGGGTACACCTAATCGAGCCAATGGTGCTTTCGACTGCATGAGAGCTAGAATAGGGTTACCATCGGGCTGTCCGTCAGGAGTGATAGCACCCACACTATTAGCATCGCATAGATATTTATTAACGCAATCTCTAAATATGACCAAGGTACAACTTACTTGACTGTGTTGACTCTGATTTGTTTGGATCCCAACTCAAGCGCTAGTATTCTTACCAACTGTTCAGTACCTGCTTTGGCGGTACTGTAGGCCAACTCCACGGCCACCTAATAATGAATACATTAATATACTTAACATTTATATATTATTGGTTTGACATACCGGTGCCACACCAGCAATAGTGGCCACATTAGTGATCGAGCCGTTAGTTTTCTCGAGCAATGGGACGGCCTGTTGGATGAGCTCAGCCGTGGATCTCAAGTCGTTTTGGAAGGTCTGGTCCCAACTGGCCATAAGGTTGGGGTCCGTTATGTTCAACAATGCATAGCTGTTCGCGAAGTTTACCAAAACATCTAACTTTCCAAAGGTTTGTACGGTTTGTGTGAACAGGTTCTGGATGTCAGCAGTTTTGGTCAAATCCGCGACAACTGGCAACGCCTACGTAAGTAAAATAAATATAATTTATATTAGAAACCTAATTAAAAACACAAAAAAAATAATAATTTATTTCTAACCTTAAGATTTTCAGGGGAATAATTTTGGACAGATTGAGCCAGCTGATTTATGTAAGTGCCATTAGTACCGGTGATGACCAGGTTAGCTCCTAATATGGAAAACAGTTTGATTGTACCCTCAGCCAAGCCTGAGTTGGTAACCGTAACCAAAACTACTTTTCCGGTGAAGTCTCGCGAGTTTCGGACGCCATAGTACTGGGCGTCAGTCGGATCAGTCGACTCTATAGTATTGCAATATTTGTAATTAAAGAAATTGTAATTACTTTTAATTTAAGGACTACTTACGCGATGGCCCGGTATGTGGCACATGAGGAATATGGGGTATGTGTGGCATATTGTGGTGAAGCAGATTATCAGCTCCTCCCAACACGGTATGAGCTATACCACCGGCCAGACCTGTTTTGGCATCAACAGCCTTTCCAGCTATATCCAGACCAGCGTGTGCTGCATGACTGGCAACACCCAGTGCTTTCTGGACAATACCATCGGCAAAGTGCAAGGGATCAGGCAGTAGGGAACGGGTATGTACGGTACGGTTACTCATTGTCTGGTTGAATGGTGGTCGAGGGAAATGAGGCTCATTATGTCTACCCTGATGTTGATGTGAGCCGTCATATACACCCTGAAGGATACGATCATTAAATGATATGCCATTCACACCATTGTTGGTATTGTCGGCACTCAGGACAGTGGCCACGGATAGGAGCGCTACGATCGCCAAGTATTTCATTGTTGATTAGGTTTTACAATAAAAACTTTTTACTTTTCAAATGCTATGATTGAAAACTAGTGATTGTTTGCTGGATTAATCTGCCATTTATATACTTCATTGGCAACTGTAGTAATCAATATATTATTTAATTGGACAGGTTTACTTTGAGGGCATATAAAAGTATCTCAAACAATAACTACCAAATAAAATCAGGATATAAAATTATAATTAATTACGTGATTGCCCTGAACTTGTATTTCTTAAAAAATCTGTTTTATAATAATTTATCAATTGTTAAATAATATATAGCCATATTTAGTTTATTTCTATTAAATACACTTGTTACACTAATTTATCATATGCCCTGAAACATGCACTAGGTATTTCAATATCATAACACAAATATAAAAATAGTATATAAACATTCAATAATTGTTAAAAGTTTTACATTTAAAAAATAATTACTTATAATAAGATAATTATAATTACTATTTCAAAAATGAAATCTCAAGTACTGTTAGCTTTGGTTGCATTTGTGAGTACCGTTTACTGTCAGTACGATTACCCGGTGTCCGACTATTTGGCGGTCCGGGAGTCGCGTAACTTCACGGGTAAAGTAGTTCTGGTGACCGGTTCGAGCGCCGGCATCGGCGCCG